TGAATTGTTGCAAGCCTTTGTTTAACACCAGAGTTTTAAAAAAATTGTGACAATATTTGCCAGTGTTCTCCTCGCCTTTTTGGAGGTGGATTTTTGGAGGTCCTTACTCTGCCATTCTAGAAGTGATTGCTCTCAGTAAATATTTTTTAAAGATTCTTCATGACTCTTCCGTAGATGATAGAATCTTTTTTTCTTTTTTGTGGCAGTATACACAGCCAAACATGCCTTCACAATTTCTACATGTGCAGTTCAGTGACATTGGTTACATACTGCACCACGTGTCACCATTCTCACTATCTCCACCCATAGGGTTACATCACCATTAATTTAGACTCTTCTGCCCCTTAAAGTTCTCGTCTGTGCCTTAGATTTACTGTTAACAGTTTGAACTCTATAGAAAATTCTCTACAAGAACGTAGAGCTAAACTGCTGTTTAGTTTAACTATGGCTTGTGAGATATTTTGGTTCAGGGTTTGAAAGTTATTTCTAGGCAGTAGATTCAGGGGTCCCCCTCCCTAGTCTCAGTGGATCCAGTGAATCTGGTTTCCATATGAGTTTAAAGTTCTGTTCCCCTATTTTGCTCCTTTTGATTAGGATCCACCTATTGAGTCCTTGATCAAAACGTTCTGTAAGGGTAGCCAGGCACCATTCATTTCTTCTGGTCTCATAGCAGAGGAGGTACTAGCTCATGGAGGCAATTAAACCTGTAGTCCATTTTCTTCTCTGATTCCTGGGCCCACTTCTGTTGTTCTGGGCAAATAGAGACCAATTGTTTTAGCTGGGGTGGCTGCTCGCAAGTTTTTAAGACCCTAGGCACTATTTACCGAACTAGGAGGTAGAACAGAAACTCTAAAAACAACTTTAGGCCAGTTGATCTGATAGACCCATGAAGCCATGACCCTAAACCTTCGAACCAAGAAAATTAATCCCATGAAGTGTTTTGTTGTAACTAAGTAGTATTCACAGGTACAGCTTTTTTGGGGGGGGGCTACCGTTATAGTTGTAAAATTATATAAAGCTCTTTATTTGCCGTTTCACACTTTTTTTTTCTGGTGTACAGCTTAGTGATTACAGCTACTTAAGTCGTGTAACCATTACCCTTAAAAACCCATTGCCGTCGAGTCGATTCCGTCTCATAGCAACGTCGTAGGACAGAGCAGAACTGCCCTGTATGGTTTCCAAGGAATAGCTGGTGGATTCGAACTGCCGACCTTTTGGTTAGCAGCTGAGCTCTTAACCAGTGTGCCATCAGGGCTCCTCCATTAGTCAATGCCAGTTTTCCTATCACCCTAGACAAAAGTTCACTACTTCCCATGGAGTGATTTCCCCTCTCCCTTCCCCTTCCCGCCCCTGGTAACCTGTAGATGGTAGAATCTTAATTTATGACCCTAGATTAGAACCAATGCATGTACCAAGCAGTCAGTAAATATTTATTGAAATTCTTAGATCCATCTTCAAAGAAAGATTATTTTATGACATTTGTTTTAATGCAATCACTGATCCAGTAGTGTGAGCAGATGAAAATTCAGTTAAAAAGTGGTTAATACTTATTCTGAGCCTCGAACTGTTTCAGAGGATGGGAAGATGGAATTAATATACATGACATAGGGAATTCCTCAGTGTAGAACGGATAATAAATGATTATCATGGGAGTTCACAACAGGGAAAGCATTTAAGTTAGAAAAGTTGAATGTAGTCTCATGAAGGGAAGTGGAACATGAACACAAACTTGGGAGAGAAGATGATGCTGAATAAATAAAGGAGGAAGAGGGTAGACAGTCTAGACTAATGGCATGACATCAGCATTGGGGAGAGAAACAGGCAGAGAAATGCTGGGCCATTAGTAGATCTGCCCTTCTGCTTTAGTGACTTTTTTTTTAACTATAAAATAATGAAAAATAAGAAAAGTTGATGATAGATTCCCACAGTAACAAAGATTAGACTAAAAGCCCATTAAGCACTGACTAAATATCGGTAAATGAAAAATGTTATAAAAAGTAAGCACTTTGTTGTTGTTGTTGTTGTTGCAATAGTGTTTCAATTATTTTGCAGAAAGGGTTTGAAATTGATAAATTACTTTCTGCTGATTTACGAAGTTTTTGGTGTTGAATATGTGAAATTGTGTAATATTTTTAGGTGTCATTTGCCAATGCTGTATATTGGATTGGAATATGGCTTGACCAACAACTCAAAATTGGCTGAAAGATTCTTTAGCCAAGCACTGAGCATTGCACCTGAAGATCCATTTGTTATGCACGAGGTTGGTGTTGTTGCATTTCAGAATGGAGAGTAAGTACCAGAAGACCATTGGGCTTGTTTTGGTAAATAGAGTAAAACCTCATTTACTAGAGTTCAACTGATCAGACTGACTTTTGAGTAGATTTTTATTCTGTACTATTTTAAGACATAGAAGATTTTTAAAAAATCTTGAATTTCCGTAAACATATTAAACTCAGGTTTGAGTCCTCCTTTCTTCTAGGCTACCACAGTCTTATAATTACACTGCTTGACAGTAGATGTATCTTCAGATCACTGACATTCAGCAATATGGCCTTGAGGCACTGAGAATCCTTAGACATCCCTATGTAGACGAGAAGTTGGATCAATACAATTGAAACGAAATTTTTGAAACAAAAATACAGGAAAACCTGCAAAAGCCAGAATCTGTGTAAGGCAGAAACCTATCAGAGAAGGAAAACTCAATTATTTTCCACTAAAACAGATGATAGAAAAATGGTAAGACTGCACCCTATCAAAGGGGGAAATCTTCCGAGATCCAGAAAAACAAGGCAATCCTGTGGAGTTCCAGCTCTCACAGGTTTCACTATATAGGTAGACCCCGACTTACGACATCCTTGTGGGTTTGTTTTGTACATCTTACCGTTAGTAATATGTACTACCTACAGTGTTGCAACACATAAGTTGCTGCTGTTATCATTCCCAGATGTAAAGTTTCCAACCCCCAAAGACCAATAAAGATAAGATTTATAAAGATACTGATAATAAAAGGCAATAATAATGAAAACTAAAGAAAAAATGAGACATTCGACTTATGTCAGAACTGACTTACGACGGACAGAGTAGTTGTAGGAACAGAACCCTGTCCTAAGTTGGGACTACCCGTATTTTGTGTTTAGTTACCAGTTGATCAAAAAATTATGCTGATTAGAATGAGCTAGTTTTCTAATGTCCTGCTCAATCGAGGCTGTACTGTAGCCTTGGATGTTTTATGAAATAAGTAATTCATTGTCATACTCCAGAGAAAAAAATATATAATCCTTTGCATTAAATTATACAGAAATTAAAAAACAGTTTTAAGTTGGTACTTCTCTAGTGTTGTTTGTGGGATGTATGTGTGTTTTATAAAAGTTAACTTTAGGTATTTTACAAAAAGAAAGTTTGGAGCTTTTTTGTTTTTGTGTATAATAATGTAATATTTCCTAAGATCATGAGCTTGTGTGGTGTGAATACCATAAAATTAATCATTTCTCTGACTTAAATTTGAATGTTAATCAACTCGTACCATTAGTTTACCTCCATTTCACTTTAGTACTACTAGAGATTTTCAAATTTTTCTTGTTTGTATTTGCTGATTTTGAATAACCTGCAGCCTTTCCCTCCTCTTATTTTAGCTGGAAAACAGCAGAAAAATGGTTTCTTGATGCTTTGGAAAAAATTAAAGCAATTGGGAATGAGGTATTCTATGTATATTTGTAAATATACCTATGTACACATACCTAAGTGTGTTTACTGTTCAGTGAGGAAAATAACATGGCCAGATAATGCTTCTTACCTAGGATAATCACCTACTATTTATCATAACACATGGCTTGTTGATGTTTGAATTGTCAATTAACTGTTAGATGACATGGTACAAAGGAGTTTGTTTCTAATCGAGAGGGCAGGTGTTGAGTCTTTGCTTCCTAAGAGGACTATAAGGGCTAGAGGTAGTCATTGCCATGTATTAGGTGGTTACTGGAAACAGAATACTTGATGGTTAGTTGAAGCTGATGAATACTGTAGCATCTAACATAATATGCCTTTCTTCCGTAGAACTTAAAATAGGCTCATCTTTGATTGAGGTTAAATGCAGTATAGCAGCAGACTCTACTTCTGCAGGAATAGGGCGAGCTGTCATTTAAATTCCTGTTTCATTTGCAGTTCCCTACCTGTACTGTGGAGCCCTGGTGACGCGGTGGTTATAACCAAAATATTGGCAGGTCGAATCCACCAGCCACTCCTTGGAAACCCCATGGGGCAGTTCTACTCTGTCCTGTAGGGTTGCTATAAGTCGGAATCGACTCAACAGCAATGAGTTTGGTTTTTTTTGGTTTACCTGTACTTTACTTTTCAATGTTTTAAAATATTTAACTATGCTCTGTTGTGTGAAAAGTGTAACCCATGGATGTGTGTGCTCTTGAATTAACTTTCCAACAAGGTCGGATGTATACACACAGATATTATTTTAAAATAATGACTTTAGATACTATAAACTTCCATAGGTAGGGATTTCCATGTTACTATTCTTCTGATTCCTGATTCTTTTTCTCATACCTATCTTGTTTTATTCTATTCTGATTTTTACCTCCCACTTCTATGCTTTTCCTGTCTGTGCACAGTTGCCTCTCCTTTCACTGTTAGCTCCATTAGTCTGCCTGCCAGATGGCAGTCTGCCTGTCCTTGTAGACGTAGCTTCTTAAATTTTAGTCTCCAATTAACTGTCATATGACTTTGAAAAATATTATATTTCCATTTGTTTGCACATGCATGTATATGTAGCATGTTCTTCCTCAGCTAAGTCTTGGGTGGCTGTGTATAATAAATGTAGTTTTGTTAATATAAGGCTGCCATCTGCCACCCTGCCGGTTTTCAAGGGATTGAATGCCTTAAGGCCTTGCTACTCAAAGTGTGTTTCCTGGACCAGCAGCATCAGCATCCCTTGAGAGCATGTTAAAAATACTAAATCTCAGGACTTACTCTAGACGTATTGAATTAGAAGCTGAATTGTAGCCCGGGTGATGCTCATGCACAATAAAGTTTGAGAAGCACTATCCTAAGCCAAAGCTAAAATTGAAGCGATATTCTTTCTTTGATGATTCAGAGTGCACTTCAGAATCTTACAGAAATTTAAAGTAATAGGTTTAAATATGAAAGTGCAATACTATTGAAGTGTCACAATCAAACCAAAAATCAAACCCTTTGCTATCAAGTTGATTCTGACTCATGGTGACTCTATAGGACAGAGTAGAACTGCCCCATGGGGTTTCTGGGGAGTGGCTGGTGGATTCAAACTGATGACCTTTTGGTTAGCAGCCGAGCTCTTAATCACTGCACCAGCAGGGCTCCTTGAAGTATCAAAATACCTAATAAAAAGTTACATGAAGAGGGGAAAAAATGCTGTTTGACTTTAGATATAAGCTGCAGAAATGTCAAAATAGCAATAATGTGTAAGGGTAATTAAAAGATTTGTTTTTCATTCACACGGTCTGTGCCTCCCCAAGCCATTCTCAATGGAGTTGGAGAGATGTGGCTCGGATTTATTTATTCATTTAGTTGCCCACTATGCCCTAGGCTCTGAGCTAGGCGTTGAGATGCGACAGAAAACTAGTTTGACATTTCCTGTCCTCAGATATATTGGGGAATGCAGACAAGGAAATTGGCAGTAATAATACTGTGTACAAAAAAAGTCTGTGTTTGGGGAAATAAAGGTACCCACTCGAGGAACAGTTAACCCAGACTTGAGGATCAGAGCAGGCCTTTCAGATAACATTTCTTCCTACTCAGTCCTGAAGTTTGATTAAGCATTATCCCTACAACAGTGAGGGAGAAGAGTGTTTCAGGTAGAGAGAGTAGTGTGTGCAAAGTGTGGTCTGTTTCACAGATTGGAGCTGATTCAGTATGGCTTGGATTTTGAGTTCACAGAGAATGTCAAGAACGGGGCAGGACCGTTAAGCAGGGGTTGTTAAGGGCCTTGAAAATGATAGTAAAGAGTTTGTACTTTAACCTGAGGATGGTGGGAAAACAAAAGGAGTTTAAGCAGGGGGCAGCATCGTGAGACTTGTATGATTGTGGCCCAAAAGAGACTTGTTAGTGGGGAAGGTAAGAATTAAATAGGCCGGACTTGTGCTAAGGAAGTAGGATAAACAAGACTCTCGGTGACTCTTGGAATAAGAGAAGTGAGGAGAGGGAGGGGTCATGGATGACATCAGCATGGTAGGAATACGAGATCAGGGATCTGGGGTGACAGGAGAGGCAGAAAAGTTTGGTGTGTGACACACTCAGTTGGAAGTCCTAGTGAGAGTTGTAAGTAGAAATACCCAACAGGCAGATGGATATAGAGATCCTAGTGTTTTAGAGACGGGTCTGGGCTGGAGGTACAAAATTTGGCCTTGAGCATGGACAGCCTGTTTAACAAGATTGTGCTAAGCACTGGAAATACAGAAGTCATACCGTCCTCTGGACCCATCCAGAAGGCAGGAAAGATGAGGAAACCAGCACGTGTTCTTGCTTAATGCTGAGGGACTGGCACCCAGAGACTGCTGTCTGTACAGACACAGAGGAGAGACACCCAACTTGCATAAGTGTATGAGCTTATTCGGTACAGACAAATGAAGTTGAAAAAGGACATCTGTAACTCATGGGTTCGATGCTGCTTTATGTTTTAGGTAACAGTCGACAAATGGGAACCTTTGTTGAACAACTTGGGGCACGTCTGCAGAAAACTTAAGTAAGTGTAGAGCATTTTCAGAAATAGACTCTGTGACTAACAGTTCAGTTGATTTTGTGTAGCCTTTTCCATATTTTTATTTCATGAGACTCTTCAGCTTTCTTGTTCCTGGCTGCTCAGATAGAATAAGCATAAAAACAAGCACTATTTTCTTAGTTATCTCTGTTGGTTTAATTTTATTTTTGAAACTTACGTTAATTTAGAAATTGTAATTGCTTTTTTTAGATAAAAAAACTGTAGTGTTCACAAAACCAATTGAGAAGAATTTAGACAGTAGGATCTAATTAAAACCGCATCTGTGTTCTAACTCACTGTGTCCTGCTAGACACTAGTTTTGTAATGTGATAAACAAGTGGCAGTAAAAACTGAATTCGTCCGTTAGATAAATTTGGGAAGCTCTGAGTTACACAAAATTTAGCAAGTTTTTTTAATTGCAGAATTTCTTAGACTCTTTCCTGTGCATTTCCCAAACTGCAGCATTTCCCAAGTTTAATTGAAAACAGAACCTTTTTTTTCACAAAAGATTTTCCAGGGAAACTATTCCAGAGAACTTCGAGAAACATTGTTCTGAGTAACTCTTTTGGACCTTAAAGCAAAACTCTTGGTTGTTTTTAACCACACCTGGTGTCAGAGGTTTACCTTCACATAAAAGTGTGTCATAAAAGGGCACAAGTCTAGGAGTCGAGGATTAGGGTTCTGGTCCCAGTCTCCCTCTAAGTATCGAAAGTAATACAAGTATCCATGGAGAGTCCCTTCAGCCAACTGAGTGAGTGTGCCAAGAAAATATGTGTCAAGGAGCTATTAAGATACATAACGGTGTAATATAGAGGAAAGTTACAGTCTAAACTCTTATTCTGACATAGGAAAATATTTGTTGTATCTTTACATAAATGAGTAGTCATCTTGGCTTAGGAATTTAGGAATTTTATTGTCATCATAAATTATTTTCTCTCTTTTCTCCCCCTTTTGCACCCCCTCCTGTCTTTTCTTCCCTCCCTCTCTCGTCTTCTCTCACAGAAAGTATGATGAAGCACTGGATTACCACCGTCAGGCACTGGTGCTGATTCCTCAGAATGCATCCACCTACTCTGCCATAGGATATATACATAGCCTGATGGGCAATTTTGAAAACGCTATTGACTATTTCCACACAGTATGTCTTTTGTATCTAACTTTAAATCTGATTAACGTTTACTACTACTTTTTGAAGTGATCTTTTCTAGGCAGTGTTTTATTGCTTTACAGTTTTAAAATTCTTTATGCTACCTTGTTTTTTATTCTTTTCTTTGCAGAGAAAAGCACATATGTGTTTTGCAATATTCATCAAATTAGAAGCAAATGTGAGACTTGTCATAAGTGTGTCTTGAGTCATGTAAATGTTAATTTGAGCTGGGTGCTGTGTTTAGCCTGGGGAGCACAGGAATGTCTATCACACAGTAGAAGCCCTGTAGGAGCTCCCAGTCTTTTATCCAGGACTCTTATAATTAATTTCCTTAGATTAATTTAGTTAATGAACAAGATAATCTACATTTATCACAAAGAAAGGAATCTCTCCTTAATTCACATACCCACATTTCATCAAATCTGAGACGCCATTAGTAAGTGAGATGACCACAAAAAAAGAAAAAGTGCCAACAATTAAACTTTAACATAATACTTTCCTATGACTGAAACTTTTGACACTTAGACAAAGTGCTCTCTGGACGTATTTAGACATAGGTTTTTATCAGCTATCACTCTAGTACAGACATAAAAAGAAAAATGCAAGGGAAGTAAATTGGTTACTCCCTTCTTCACATTCAGCACCTTATTATTCTGAATCACTGTTGTACCCAGGTGATCAGTATTCTTTTTCCCCAATATATGATCCTGACGCCATCACATATGTTCCACTCTTGGTTTTCTCCAAGCCATAGACAACTGTTCTGCATATTTTGATGTTATCACTCTATTGATTTTACCAGAAAGTGTCAACAGAAGGTTTTTAGACAACAACTAGGATTCATGTATCGTCTCTAAGTGTTGCTTCATGGTTTGTTAACTGAAATGTCAATTGTCCAGTCAGGTCGCCAAACACAACAACCAAATTCACACTGCACAGGCAGTGACATCCACATCATGGCTGCCGCCTGGCCACACCAATAGTAAAAAACCATCCATTGGAAGACATGCTGGTTTCAGAACTGTTAACATTTGAAAAAATGTGGGTCTTAGAATCAATGAAATAATGGTATTGGGGGAAGAGGTAAAATATGAGGAAATGCAAATTTTCAAAGATAAGTTCGTGAGTAATAGATTCATAACTGATTCTTCCAGGGTTGATTGAAGATTTTCAGGCCATAACCCTAGACGGAGTCTTGAAGTACCTCTATGATAAACAATACTAAGCTGGTCAGAACTTTGGGATGAGCAAATTTTCTAATCTTGTGTAATCTTTCAAATACGTATGTTTGAATATTGTATAATTTATCTTTCTTCTGTGATTTAATTAATATAGAAGACTTAGAGGGCTCTCATGGGGTTATAGTTTTTAATCTTTTTGGGAAGGGAATTTTAAACATGGAAGAAGAGTGAAGTGAACCCCCAAGTACCCATCACTAACTTCAACAGTTGTTATAGTCAGTCTTGTTTTAGTTATATCCCCACAACAATCCCTCTCCGCTCCCACCTTTGGTTCCTTGGAATATTTTGAAGTGAATCATATAGGAATATTTTTAAACAAAAGAGAAATATATTTTCTGTTAATAACCATGCTAAATATTTTCTGGCAGGCACTTGGTCTTAGGCGAGATGATACATTTTCTGTTACAATGCTTGGTCATTGCATCGAAATGTACATTGGTGATTCTGAAGCTTATATTGGTAAGATTATAATTATTCTTATTGGCATTGTCATCCATTTTTTAGATTCTTTCTCTTTGTAGTCCATCTCTGTTTAGAATTCTCAAGTTCTTATTTAAGGTTCTAAGTTTATCTTTCTAACCATTCTAACTACATTAATATCAAGAAATTTCATCTATTTTGTTAGAAGAATGCTGGGGGAAATAGTGACTCATCAGCTGTCCATTCATTTTGAAGTTGAGCACTTCTGTGTGCTAAATACTGTTACAGACTATGTGTTACGCACTGTGTTGCAGGAGGATCAGTCTAATTACACAATGGAAAGTCTTAGAAATGTTTTTCTAATAAACTTGAATGAAGGGGCTCTGGCCTTAATATTTTATAACACAGGGTATAGCATAATGTTAATCTCTACATTTCAGTGGAATATTAACAAGTTGCATTACATTCACTTAACTGACGTGTAAGTTTATTTTATTGTACTTTAGATGAAGGTTTACGGAACAAACTAGCTTCTCGTTAAACAGTTAGTACACATATTGTTTTATGACATTGGTTAACAACCCCACAACATGTCAACACTCTCCCTTCTCGATCTTGGGTTCCCTATTACCAGCTTTCCTGTGCCCTCCTGCCTTCTAGTTATTGCCCCTGGGCTGGTGTGCCCCTTTAGTCTTGTTTTGTCCTATGGGTCTGTCTAATCTTTGGATGAAGGGTGAACCTCAGGAGTGACTTCAGTACTGAGCTAAGAGGGTGTCTGGGGGCTATACTCTTGGGGTTTCTCCAGTCTCTGTCAGACCAGTAAGTCTGGTCTTTTTTTTGTGAGTTAGAATTTTGTACTACACTTTTCTCCAGCTCTGTCCAAGACCCTCTATTGTGATGCCTGTCAGAGTAGTCAGTGGTGGTAGCTGGGCACCATCTAGTTGTACTGGATTCAGTCTGGTGGAGGCTGTGGTAGTTGTGGTCCATCAGTCCTTTGGACTAATCTTTCCCTTGTGTCTTTTAACTATTTTTTTTTAATGAGAAACAAGTAGTGAGACAAGTTTAGATGATATTACTGTAATTTGGCACTTGTTTAGTTATGATATAAGGAGTTTGCATAGAGGTTAAAAAGTGAGAACTGGACCTTGGGTAGGCAAAGATTTCCTTAACAGAACATAAAGCCAAAAAAGGAAAAAATTGATAAATTGGACTTCAGTAAAATTAACAGCTTTTGTTCATCAAAAAACACCATTCAGGAGTGAAAAGGAATGCCATAGACTGGGAGAAGTTACTCGCAATACAAGAAGAATTTGTATCTAGAATACAAAAAAACTCCTACAGATCAGTAAGAAAAAGTTAACCCAATCATAAAATAGACAAAATACTTGAACAGGAGCTTCACAAAAGAGGATATCTAAATCGTTTTTAAGCAAAATGAAGTTACTCAAGATTGTCACTTATCAGAGAAAGTAAAACCATAATGAGATACCACTGCATACCCACCAGAATGGCTGAAGATTAAAACTACTGATGACACCTCAGTGGAACTCTCATATATTGTTGGTTATCAGTGGGTTATAAATGGGTAAAACCTCTTTGGAATACTGTTCAGCATATTTACTAAAGTTAAAATCAGGCCTACTCTATCAGTTATCTGTTGCTGTATAACTCCAAAACTTAGTGGCTTAAACCAACAAAGGTTTATTATTTCTCACAATTCTGTCGGTTAATTGGGTGATTTTTTAGCTAGTCTCGCCTGGGTTCTCATGCTGCTGCAGTCAGCAGGTGGCCTGGCTGGGGCTGCATGGTCTAAGATGGTCTCACTCATGGCTGGGATCTCAGCTGGGACAGCTGGAATGGCTAGGACAGCTGGGCCTCTTTCCACGTGGCTTTTATCCTAGACTTCTTCACAGTATGGTAGTCTCAGGGCTCTAAAGGACCAGAACTGAGGCTTCACGACCTCTTGGGGCCTGACTTGGAAGTTGTGCAACATCACTTCCACCGTATTCTATTCATCAAAACAAGTCATATAACCATGATAATCTCAATCGACGCAGAAAAGGCATTTGACAAAATCCAACACCCTTTCATGATAAAAACACTCAACAAACTAGGAATAGAAGGGAAGTTCCTCAGTATGATAAAGAGCATTTATGAAAAACCCATAGCCAGCGTTGTACTCAATGGGAAAAAAACTGAAAGCTTTCCCCATTAAGATTAGGAACAAGACAGAGATGCCCCCTCTCACCACTGCTATTCAACATTGTTCTGGAAGTCCTAGCCAGAGCAGTTAGGCAAGAGCGTGATATAAAAGATATCTGAATTAGGAAGGAACTAGTAAAACTATCCCTATCTGCAGATAACATGATCCTATATATAGAAAATCCCAAACAATCCACAAGAAAGCTACTAGAGCTAATAAATGAATTCAGCAAAGTTGTGCCGTATAAGGTCAACACACAAAAATCAGTTGTGTTTCCTGTACATCAGCAATGAGCAAACTGAAAGGGAAATTAAGAAAACAATTCCATTTGCAGTTGAATCTAAACGATAAAAATACTTGGGAATAAGTTTAACTAAGGGGATGAAAGTCATGTACACTAAAAACTATAAAACACTGCTGGAAGAAATTAAAGGAGACCTAAATCAGTGGAAAGACATTCCATGTTCATGGGCTGGAAGACTAATATTATTAAAATGTCATTACAACCCAAAGTGATCTGTAGATTCAATGCAATTCCTATCAGAATTTCAACAACCTTTGCAGATGTGGAAAAGCCAATCCTCAAATATGTATGGAACTGAATTAGGCAAAGCAATCTTGAAAAAGAAGAACAAAGTAGGAGGACTCACACTTCCTGATTTCAAAACATACTATAAAGCTTCAGTAATCAAAACAGTCTGTGTATTCTAATAAACACATAGACCAAAACCAAAAACCCCAAACCCGTTGACGTCCAGTTGATTCCGACTCATGTCAACCCTATAGGACAGAGTAGAACTGCCCCATAGGGTTTCCAAGGCTATAAATCTTTATAAAAGCAGACTGCCATATCTTTCTCCTGCAGAGCGGCTGGTGGGTTTGAACTGCTGACCTTTCATTTAGCAGCTGAGTGCTTAACCACTGCGCTGCCAGGGCTCCTACATATAGAACTATGGAAAACAATTGAGAGTCCAGGTATGAGTAATTGGTTTTTGACAAGGGTGCAAAGTCCACCCAATCGGGACAGAAGAGTCTCTTCAATAAATGGTGCAGGGACAACTGAATCTCCAGGTGTAAAAGAATGAAGTTGGACCCCTACCTTACACCTTATATGAAAATTAAAATGGATGAGTGGCCTAAATGTAGGAATTAAAACCGTAAAACTCTTAGAACAAATTGTAGTAATTAATGCTTTGGGACCTAGTTTTTGGCAATGGGTTCTTAGATATAACACCAAAAGCACAAGCAAATGAAAGAGAAAATTAGATAAATTGGACTTCAGAAAAACTAAAAACTTGTGCATCAAAGAACTTTATCAACAAAATCAAGAGACAAGCTACAGAATGGGAGAAAAAAATTAGGAATCATATATCAGATAAGAGTTTAATATCCAGAATGTATGAAGAACTCTACAGCTCAACAACAAAATGACAAGCAACCCAATCAAAAAGTGGACAAAGGACTTGAGTAGACATTTCACCAAAGAAGATATACAGATGGTCAATAAACACATGAAAAGATGTTCAGCGTTGTTAGTCATTAGGGAAGTGCAAATCAAAACCATAATGAGATACCACAGCACACCCACTAGGATGGCTATTATCAGAAAAACAAAATAAGAAGAGTTGGTGAGGATATGGAGAAATTGGAACACTTATTCATTGCCAGTGGGAATGTAAAATGGTGCAGTGGCTGTGAAAAACATTTTGGCAGTTCCTCAAAAAGTTAAAAACTGAATTACCGTATGACTCCGCGATTCCATTCCTAGATGTGTACCCAAAAGACCTGAAAGCAGGTCCTAAAACATAATTGTACACCCGTGTTCATTGCAACATTATTCACAACAGCTAAAAGATGGAAACAACGCATGTCCATCAACAGATAAATGGAGAAATGTAGTGCGTACATACAATGGAATATTATTTAGCCATAAAGAGAAATGAAGTTCTGATACATGCTATGACGTGGATGAACTTAGAATACTTGCTGAGTGAAATAAGTCAGACACAAAAAGACAACAAATTCTAATATGAAGTATTTGGAATAGGCAAATAGATAGAGACAAAGTTTATTAGTAGATACCAGGGCAGGTGGGAGGGGGGAATTGGAAGGTATTACATAAGGAGCACTGAGTTTCTGTCAGGCGATGAAACATTTGGAAATGAATAGTGATGGTGTTTATACAACAGGGTGAATGTAATTTCACTGATTTGTACATATAAAAATAGTCAAAATGGCAAAATTTTTGGTATATATTTCACCACAATAAAAAACTTTTTTGAAAGGCTAAGAGGTCGGTCATAAAAGACCACATATTGGATGAATCTGTTTATATGAAATGTACAGAATAGGCAAATCTATACAGACAAAAGAGTAGACTAGTGGTTGCCTGGGGTTGTGTGTTGGGATTTAGGGGCTTGGGGAATGTCCACTACAGGTACGGCGTTTCTTTTTGAGGTGACAAAAATGTTCTAAAATTATTGTGATGATGGTTGCACAACTTTGAATATACTAAAAAAAAATAACAGTGAATTGTACACTGGGAAATGGGTAAATAGTACGGCATGTGAATTATATCTCAGTAAAGCTGTTCTATATAAGAAAAGCAAGTCACATACTAAGCTTGGAGTCAGCGTGGGAGGGGACTATAAAAAGGTTTGGATACTGGGAGATGTAATCTGCCGTACTGATCTTATGATGTAGCAATTCATGGTAGCACCTAACAGGAAGCAACCCAAATGTCCACCAGCAGGAGAATAGAGAAATAAATTGTGGTGTATTCAAGCAATAGAATAATGCACCACAATGAAAAGAACTAAGTACTGAATTATGCAGTAACAAGGATGAATCTCATTCTGTCAAAAAAAAGAAAATATACTGATTAATTCCATTTATTGGAAGATTAGTGTAAGCAAAACTAGTCAATATTGCTAGAAAAGTCAGAACGATTACTTCTGGCTTGGGAGAGGTGGCAGTATTAACGAGGAAGGGCACAAGGGAATCTTCTAGGTGCCGGAAATGTTCAGTGTTTCGGTCTGGTGGTGATTATGTGGGTATGTACATATCGATAGCATAATTTACTGTTTGTATGTCATAGCTCACTTAATAAGAATTAAAAATAAACAAAAGACACTTGAGCTCTGGCATTCTAAAGACCATAGGTTGTCTCAGCTCTGCCACTCAGTAGCTCTGTGACTTTGGGATAAGTCTGAGCCTCATTTTCCCCATTTGTTCAAGGAATAGTTGTGAGGCTTAAATGCAAAGTTTATGTAAAGCTGAGTAAGATCTGAAAATACAATAATGAATAAGACAGGCATGGTCCCTGTTCTTATAAAGGTAACAGTTTTAAAGAGGAGACTTCCAAGTTCGTTCATTCCCTAAAACTAAGGGAAGGCTTGCCTGTCATTATCTGCCAAAACATCTATTACTGAAAGCTATTGGTTTGAACTGTGTAAATTTGCCTTTCTACGTAGGTCAGAAACGATGGAACCTTAATACATCTGGTCAAAGTCTCTTTTATCCATCATACTTATGATTTTGATATGTGGAAAATGTATTTTTCCTTTATTGTGGTTTCTATATGCATAAGATTAGTGACTGCCCAACAAGCACATCACAGACAGCCCTGGTCTGTAACTGCTGAGAGAAAAGTTGTCCATAGCTCCATTAGTATCCTCAGGGCTTCTGTGATGTGATGGCTAATTGAGCCACACTGGTGTTAAAACTGCACGTGCTTATAAAAGCCTTCCCAACTTCTCCCTTGATGATGATGGAAAAGAAGAGAAAAGGAAGGAAATGATTGGAAGAGAGGGTAAAAGGGTTTTGATTTTTTTTTTTTAATGAGAAATAGAACTTTTGTTTTCCTCCTTCTGTTCTAAATTTGTGCTCTTAAAAGTACAATTTGACTTAAATGATAGAGGCAGTGCTATATCATGTTGTAAATGACAGGTAAATGGATGAATTTCATGTTCTAATTATGGTATTTCTTTTTAGGAGCAGATATTAAAGACAAATTAAAATGTTATGACTTTGATGTGCATACAATGAAGACACTAAAAAACATCATTTCACCTCCATGGGATTTCAGGGAATTTGAAGTAGAAAAACAGACTGTGGAAGAAACAGGGCTTGCACCACTGGAAACCTCAAGGAAAACTCCAGATTCCAGGCCTTCATTGGAAGAAACCTTTGAAATTGAAATGAATGAAAGTGACATGATGTTAGAGACATCTATGTCAGACCACAGTACGTGATTCCAAACAGTGGTCTAGATTCCATTTTGTCATAGTATAGGTTCGTATTTTCTCACATCCTTGTCATGTTTTAAGAATTTCCTATTTTTCAACATGAACCCAAACTACATCTCTACATTTAGGAGCAGAGATCTGCCTTAAAGACTGGATAGCACACCTTTGCAACAGATATTTTCTGACCCTACAAAATAGTTAAATGTAGTGAAATAAAGAATAATGAAATTGCTATTTATTTGATTCATTAATTTGCAGAAGAGAAATTTTCTGAAAATGAGTTTTGAATCACTTTGATAGCTTATTTTCCGACTTCTAGAAAGTGGGGTGAGGAGAACCCTTTACCACTCTGATAAGCACAGTTGTTCTCCAGTATGGCTCGTTTCTTCCATATAGAAACTGCTTTAGCTGTGACCATGTTTGTTTGTGCTCCCTCAGGATAAAAGGGATGTCCTACCTCAGGATCGAATCTTAAGGGACTTAATATGGTTCACAATCAGCAGCTTCTAGAATTTATTGAGTAGCTTATTTTAGAACAGCCCCCAGATGTGAAATTGCCCGACAAATGTCTTCTTCCATGGATGGCGCATATGGGGCCCATGGTGCAATGCTTTTTGGTTTGCCTATGTTAGAAGGCCCTTATACAGCTGAATAACTTGCCTAGTCTACCTCTAAAACCTTTTATGAAAGAGGCTTTTGTCTTTATGGATCATAGCCCCTCAAGGGTATAACCATTTTCCCAAGTATATTAGCTTTTAAAATAATCTACTAATTTGGGTGACAACGGAAATACCGGCTGTAATCTGACATAAACGTGAATGAATCCTCTTCCAACTTCACTTCCATTTTCAAGTAATACTGTGATGTCCTCGACTTCATCTGCAACCACCCAGTTAAACCATAAGGTGTTCCTTCCACACTGCACGTGACATGACTGTTGCTTTCAGAATGTATGTTATCATGTAAATTATTTTTTCTGCATTTACATTCTTCAGATATGTGAGTTTGTATAAAGCATTTTCCTTCATTTATAAGGATGATGCTACATAAACACAGTATAGGCTTTTGAATTTTGAATTCTCAGTCTGTGACCACAATGGAGAAGGATTTCTCCCTTTATCTTTTATAGCCCTGGCAGCTTCTATTTTATATATAATTCTTTTATTTAAAAAGATAATATCCAGAGAAAGCATTTTTGTAATGTTTATGGATTAAGGCAGTAGTACATAGTGGATATGAATACAAAGTCTACCCCTGTGAATATATAAAATACCACCTATAGTCAAATACTAGGATTCATAGTAATGTCTTAATTAGAATGAAGTTATGCAATGTGATCTTTATAAACAACTTGGCTATTTCTTTTTCTTTTCAAATAGGCATGACTTTTCATATATTGATTTATTGTTTAATTGGATGTGTAATCAGTCCACAACTGCTTAGTCCTGGGGATACAACTGTGAACAAGATGGACATGGTGCTTTTCCTCAGGGAACGTGTACTCTGAAATACAGACATTCGACAAATTACAAGGCAGTGTGAAGAGTGTTACACATGGAAACCCCAGGTGCTCCTGGAGCACGTTCAGCTGTGTGTGTTTGTGTGTGTCAGAGGAGTGGTGAGAGGGATGGTCAAAGAAGGTCTCTGAGAAGGTGACCTTTGAGCTATGCTAAGTCATAAAGAATAAGACTGTGTGGGGATAGGGTAGGTGGGACCAAATAGAAGATTGACACTCCCATGGGAATGGAATAATCCAAAATGGCTGGAGCAGAGACTGGCTGAGCAATGGTGGACAGTGGGCAGATTGGAAGGCCTTGTAATTGTTGTGAAGGATTTCTGTTACGGGATTGTAAGCAGAGCTTGGAACCGGTTTATTCCAGTTCAAACCCTTACTGAGAATTTGCATTTCTGACAAGTTCCCGGGAAGTTATACGTAAGAATCACCCAGGGATCTTGTTAAAATGTAGATTCTGATTCAATATATCTGGGATGGAAATGCAAATTCTCAAGAGGGGTTTGAACTGGAATGAACCGGTTCAAAGCCCTGGTTGTAAGTAGGGAAGTAACATCTATGTCTATTTAAGTGATGAATCTGGCTGCCATAGAAGAATAGGTTAGAATTAGATGCACAGAAGCTAGTAAGCTAATGTGGGCTTAGTTCAAGTTGGTGGCAGTGGAACTCGGGGAAATGGGCAGGTTGAGAAGAGATTTAGAAAGGACTAATGCAATAGAAGGCCCCTGGATGGTGCAATAAGTTTGTGCTCCGCTGGTAACCAAAAGGTTGGCAGTTCGAATCCACCCAGCAGCACCACAGAAGAAACAGCCCTGATGATCTGCTTCCATAAAGATTACAGCCAAGAAAACCTTACGGAGCAGTTCTCTTAGCACATGGGGTCGCCATGAGTCAGAATCAACTCGATGGCACAAAACAACAACGATGCAAAAGAAGTAACTTGATTATAAAAATTTCCTCAAGTCTGTAAAACTTAATTTTGTGCTTTGTTGACATGATAATTATGAAGATCCTATAAACAAATTTTTCTACTTCAAGAAGAAGAAAACTGAATCTCTCATGACTGTGCTAAATTGATAAACCTCGCTTGTGCAGGTAAACAACTCAGATGTTCTTAAAGATAGCCCTGAAACTCAAATAAATACAACTTCCTACTCATTTTTTTTTTTAAAAGTTATTCCAGTAAAGAGGATTATATGCTTCATTTGTTGAAAATCCTTCCTTTCAAGTGCTCATTAGAGGACGTATTATCCTGCTTTTTCATAGAAAGGTATAGTTTTTCCAAGACATTTATTCATAGCATCATTGACAAATAAGGTATTGTACACAAACTAACTTTCCAGGTACCCGAAACAGTCCCTTCAACACCAAAACTTTTCATCTTAAGCTTTCTAAAATGTATTCCATATATTTTCTGTCTTCCTAAGCAGAATAATAATAGCTCTCATTTCTTGAGGACCAGTCATTGTTCCACGTGCTAACTCTAGTAAATCTTTTCATTAAAGCTTTATTGCACCTGTTGTACAGACGAGGACTCTGCCGCACGTTATGTGACTCGTCCAGCATCACACAGCCAGCAGGTGGCAGAGCTGGCATTCAAACCTTGTTCTCTTAGTTTAACCTTTGGAAATCACTAAACTTCATCACAGCGAGTGTCAGTTACTGCATTGGATTTTAATGCAGTAATGCATTCAGAGACCATTTTGGTTGCTTACTGCCATTTAGATTTAAAGTGATGATTTTGAGTTTTCATTTTTCTTTTCTTACAGTTTTTCTGTCTTTGTCGGACATAACATGCTTCTGCTTTTTATGCCTTCCCTCTTTTTTGCTGGGACTAGAAAATCAAATGACTGAACTTAAAATAATTATTTTAAAAATAAGTAAAAGTGAAGGTATTCTGTTAATAAAGTGCTGAGTTTTTCACATTTGTCTTGCCTGCCCAGAAGTTATTTTTTCATTTTGTTTTCTCATTGATCACCTGTAATGATTTTGAGATTTGTGGATAGTGACTCCTGGGAAGTGACAGTGCTTTCAAATTTAAAAGGGAAAAGCTTCAAGAAATTTGACTAAGCTACATCTGAGATCGGCAATAGCGTTAACACCGATGTGTGCGACTTCAGTGAGTGTAAAGAAAAGGTAACGTCTAATTGTATGCCAAGTATTGTTTCTGTTATTACCCAATTCTCCAATAATGTTGCCTGTTGTTAGGTGCCATCATGTCCATTCCAACTCATAGCAACCCCACGTGACAGAGTAGAACTGCCCTATAGGGTTTTCTAGGCTGTAATTTTTACGGGAGCAAATCTCCAGGTCTTTCTGCCACGGAGCCGCTGGGTGGGTTTGCACCGCCAAACCTTTCTCGGCTTGCAACTGAGCTGCTTAACCATTTGCGCCACCAGGGCTCCTTATGTTGCATAGTCTCCTAAAAATGTGTCCTCGCCAACTGTCAAGTGGCCATATTGTTATCATCAAAGTAAAATTTGAGGTGAAATGCTGTGGTCACCAGCTTCTTGAAATCACTGCTGTCTACCAATTAGACATGGGTTACCTTGTAGAGTGTAGTCTTTCTAGGGCAGTCGTTTACCCCAGAGCCATATTCATTCCAACGTTTGCAGATAATTTATTGCTGCTCTGCTTCGGCGTAAAGGTCTGTGCATACATAGACTATCACAGGTTGGGTAGTGTGTAAGAAGCTAGACTTCTTTGTAACACACTTACTTTCTCATTTTCTCACATAAAATCGTAAGCTTATGAGTGTATTTTGTTCACTATATCTTGAAATTTGTATTTCAAAAAAATTGTATTTAAAGAATAATTTTATCTGGCAAACCTGAATTCTAAAATTCTATAATTTTTGTGAAACCATTTATCAGAATACTAGTTACAAATAATAGTGAAAAATCAGAGGGGTCTTAAAACATGGACAGTGGTAGCTACTGGGAAAAAATATTTGGGTATTTTGCTAGCCAGATTCGTAAGAAATACACATTCTTATCATTTGGAAAAAGAAATGAGATTTGATTTTTTTAACTTTGTTGAGATAAAATTCACATACCATACAATTCACTTATTTAAAGTTTACAGTTGGGTGGTTTTTAATATATGCAGAGTTGTGTAACCATCACCATGTTAATTTTAAAATGCTTTCATCACCCCAAAAAGAAACCTTGTACCCATTAGCAGTCACTTCCTATCCCCTCTCTCGCAGTCACAGGCAACCCTCTACTTACATTCTGTCTCTAGTGATTTGCCTATTATGGACATTTCATAGAGAGGGCATCATACCATAGGTGGCCTTTTATAACTGGTGTCTTTCACCTAGCATAATATTTTCAAGGTTCAAGGTAGTATTATAATGTGTATCAGTACTTTATTCCTTTTAATGGCTGAATACTATTCTATTCCATTTTGTTTCCCAAAGCAGCTGTGCTATTCTGTGTTCCCACTAGCAGTATATGAGGATTCCAATTTCTCTACATATTCACCAGCACTTGTTATTTGTCCTTTTTGGTTCTAGCCATTCTAGTGGGTGTGAAGTGGCATCTCATGGTGGTTTTAATTTGCATTTCCCTGATGACTAATAATGTTGAGCATCTTCTCATGTGCTTATTGGCCATTTGTGTATCTTCTTTGGAGAAATGTCTGTTCAGATCTTTTTCACATTTTTTAATTGAGTTATTTGTCTTTATATTATTGACTTTTAATAGCTCTCTATATATTCTGGTTGTAAGGTTCTTATCAGATATATGATTTGCAAATATATGATATTGCAAAACCCCATTCTGTGGGTTGTCTTTTCATTTTCTTGATGATATCCTTACAAGCAAAAAAGTTTTTAATTTTTATGAAGTCCAATTTATTTGTTGTACTTTTGGTGTCATATCTAAGAAACAGTTGCCTTATTCAAGCTCATGAAGATGTATTCCCATGTTTTCTTCTAAGTGTTTTATAGTTTTAACTCTTACATTTAAATCTCTGATCCATTTTAGTGTGTGTGTGCCTGTGTTGTGTATTAGGGATCCAACTTCATTCTTTTATATTTGGAGATCCATTTATCCCAGCCCCATTTGTTGAAAAGACTGCTTTTCTCCATTGAATTGTCTTGGCATGCTTATCAAAATCAATTGGCCATATATAACTGTAAGGTTTTTTTTCTAGACACTCAATTCCCTTCAATATACAGGGAATATACTTTAGATATTTTGAAGGAAAAGAAATGGGCCAAGTCTTGAAAAAGACAAAGAAATATGATATACTTGTCCTGAAAGAGCTTATCATGTAGGAACCTGTTAGGTACCAGATACAGGCCTAGGCTGGGGATGAAGAAATGAATAAATTCATAGTTTCTGCTTTCATTGAAGTCCCAGTTCTGGGTGGGGGCTGCATGGAAAGTACCTCAACCCTTAGAATACAGTGTAGTAAATAGAGAAATGGAGGTATGCTCAAGGTTCTGTGGAAGCTCAAATGAAGGGCCCTCACCTTGACTGAAGGGGTGTTCTGTTGGTCTGAGAGAGCTTAAGAAAGGTGGACAGAACATTCTAAGCAGAGGGCATGGCATAAGTCTTGGCTTTATAGTAGTGGTGGGAGACAAAATATGAACACAAGAAGTATCGTAAGACATTGTCTATGATTTGACCTAATGAGAAATGGGAACAAGTTCTTTCCTCCCACTTGATAATTTTTGTGGCTTTTGGCTCAGTAATAAAGGAATTCTTTTGGAGCAAAAGTGCTTCAATAAGATTGTTTTATGGACAGAAGGTGTGAGGTTCAGAATCCTTTTTATTATCCCAATTTGGAAACATTACTAAAAAACAAATCCTGAGTTCAGTGATAGTTTAATTTGAAAAATATTTAGAAATTAGCGAGGGAAGACCTGCAAGTAAATTGAGAGTAGTTTCAAAAACATTCAAAATACATGTTCTGTATTTAAAGACTGCTGAAACATTCCAAATTTAAAAATAAATTGTTTCCACTTTTTTTTTTTTTTTTTGCTGTCAGCAACCCTTTTTAATTATTCTGCTCCTTCTTCCCTCTCATGCTATAAATTAAAGATTTTGTCTGGCAATCACATTTTCCCACTTTTTATCAAAGATAACATACCATCAGAGGTTTTGATTAACATAGCTTTATCATATACCAAGTTGATTTGAGACAAAAGGAAAAAAAACTATTGACCTAGTCTGTGCCACCTTGTCATAGGTGCATTTCTAATAGTGTTTCTTTAGATTTTGTGGATTATTGAAAACAGCTCCTGGCCATCTTTGTGGGGTTTTAGAGAACTCAGTTTTGGAACTGCTTTATGAGCCTTTTGGCCTGTTGAAAATACCATATATCAAATGTGATCATAGATAGTGGCTAAAGGATAAAGTACCGGATTGAGTTAAGAAACCTGGATTTGCTTCCAGTAATCTGCCAGTGACCCCTGTAAATCTCTTAATCTCTCGATGCCTCAACTACTCCATTCTCTAGTCACATTTTGTGTGTGGGCTTGAAACTCTTGAAAGAAGTGTGTTATAAATTAAAAAATGAGAAAATAGCAAAAAAAAAAAAACCCACATGGAATTTAAAAATAACTTCTAAATGACTGTAATGAAAAGTGTTACTGCCTGCATGCTTGTAAAAAATAAATGTGAACCCAGTTTAATTGAAAGCCTTAAAGAGTTGAATAAAGATGGTATTGGAAAACCTTAAGGCCCCGTATTTTTGGAAGCATTTATTTTATCCTATATAGGAAAGCCATGTACCAATTTGCGTCAGCCACCGGACTTTTTTAACTGTAATTGCTGTTCTTTAATAAAATGTTCAGATATCTTTGGAAAATAAGAAACATTTTATTAAACACACGTATTTTCAGGAATGTTTAGCCAAACAGCCTTCTATGTTTAGCCTACTATTTGGGGAACTGAGATTCAGCAATGCAGAGCCATTTTTACGAGATCCTGCTTACGCCAAATATTCTGGTTCTGAATTTCTATGGAGTTGTGCCTGTCACCTGACCAGTTGAACCGTTAGGGGCAAAGAAGCTAAAAAGAGGAGATGACTTTACTCCCTCCTTCCTTCTAGTTTCCCGGCCTCTAGCATGGGGAAAGCGGATGCAGCCTCAGCTGTCTCCACACCATCTCTGTAAACCAGTGTTTCTCAAAGTGACCTGCACGCAGGACCACTGTCAAGGCGTACCTGGGGTGCTAGGTGAAAAGTGCGAGCCCCAGAGCCCCACTTGAAGCCACTGTGTCAACCTCTGGTAGCTAGCCCCAGAGTCTTCTAAGGAACGCCGAAGTTCTCGCCCTCGGCCTCGTGGCACACGCCTGTCTCTCTCCCTCCCTCCGTTCTCTTCGCCCGGATGTGGGCGTGCTGCTGGGCCTGACGGACAGACCAGCAAAGGCGCGGGCGTGGGGCAGTGACAAGCGGGGCGTGGGGCAGTGACGAGCGGGACGCGGGCGGCGGGAGCGTGGCATTCTCGCGAGGTTTCGGTCGGCCTCTCGGGGCTGGGGAGCGGGGAGGCGGTGGCTCCGACGTGCGTACGAGATGCGCTCGGAGAAGGAGGCGGCCGGTGGGGCCGGGTCGACCGGGGCTGCAGTGGCTACTCGGGGCTCGAGTGGGAGGGAGAAGCTGTCAGCGTCCGCCCCCCGCGGAGGGCCGGCCATGGAGATTCAGTTCCGCTGGGAGTCGCCGCGGCGGGAGCCCGAAACGCAGTCGGCCTCCACCTCTGGCTGTGGGGGTAGCGGGAGCGGCGCGGGCAAACCACGCGAGGAGAAGAGGACGCTTCTGAGCAAGGTCCGGGCAGGGGGCGGGGCGAGGACTGAGGGGGGGCGGGGCGGTGAGGGGGCGGGGCGAGGACAGAGGCGGGATGGGACGCCTTCAGGACCCCGGAGAGCGCCCGGGCGGGTCGCGCGCCAGCAGGGAGCGCCCGCCCTCTGATAAGCGACCGACAGGAGCTGGGGAAGGGGACGCTGAGGGAGACAGAGTTTCCTGCACTTCCTGACTTGGTCTTTTCTGACTTACAGAGGAACAAGAGTCATTTAAGTTCTGTGAATATATTTCAAAACAGCTAAGCCCGTTGCTGTCGAGTCGATTCCGACTCCTAGAGACGCTATAGGATAGAGTAGAACTGCCCGATACGGTTTCCAAGGAACGGCTGGTGGATTCAAACTGCTGACCTTTTGGCTAGCAGCCGAGCTCTTAACCAGTGCACCATATTTTTGAGATGGATTCAAAATCCTTGGCTTACTACCATCAGGCAGCGTGTTCAGAGCAAGAAATTTTCCTCCTTCCACCCCTCCCTCCTTCCCGCCCCATCACTATTTTCGGTTCCAAACCGACATTCTTACTAATGACCACCCCTCCAGATAGGATTTAAAGACGCCTCGAAATTTGAAGCGTGAGACTGCTGAGAAGTCCCCATACCGGTCACACGGAGGTAGATGATTGCTTAGTTGGTAGAGTCACATTCAGAAGGCTGGTACACCCTGATCTAATCGAGTAAAGATTTCCAGAGACAGAACTGGACGTGGCTACTGCAGGAAGTATTACCAGATGATCCTGATATTACTAGCATAAGAGACAGAGAAGGATGAACGTTAGAGAAAGAACCACCAGGTAATACAGATAGGAGAGGCGAAAGTGCCCACCACAGGCATCGAAAGCGCTGCAGATCATGAAGCTGTCCAAGATCTCCTATTGGCAGCGAGAACAAATACAGCTTTCCTTTATTACTTGCATTTCTCTGCATGTGTTTTACCTTCTCATATTACTTTCTAGTACAGGTAAGAGTGTGGAGAAGATTTTATTTTTCAATTCTGGCACAAACAGTACATATCACATGGCAGCAGTTTTCTTGATGTAGTACTGAAATGCTTACATGAAAAAGAACTGTGTTATGCACTGCCTTTTCTGACCTCACTGATAACTTTTAAGTCATTCAGCCCTCTGTAGCCTTTGACAGCCATGTTCTCCATGCATGTACATGTTAATCTTTCTTCAGTGTGTGTTTATGTTGGACTCCTGGTGTAGATTTTCCTCTGTGCATTAACATAGGTGATCAGACATTCCAGCATTTGACACGTAATACATTCATAGTGAAAACAAAGTCCAGTCAGTGTCGGTTTTACCTTGGTGCTCCTTAGGTTGTCATTCGGCGGCTCCCTCCCAGTCTCACCAAGGAGCAGCTGGAAGAGCAGCTACATCCGCTTCCTGCGCACGATTATTTTGAATTCTGTACTGCCAATCTTAGGTGAGGAGAAACTTGAAGCTTCAACATTAAAAAGCTGAGAGGTGTTGTCAGTTGATGGGCAGTTATTATAGATAATGGAAGTCATCCTCTTTTCCATATTCTCTACCAAATGCCCCCAGAAATCAGTGCCTTTATTTTTGCAAGTTACTTCTAATTAGGCAGAGTATTAAATTCTTGTAAAATAGAATTTTGGAATGTACTTCTACTGTCACCACGAGAGTATAAAAGGAAAAATAGACTTACATTACTTAATTTTTGAAACTTATTTCATGTAGCTTGTTAAAGTAAACTGTGTGTAAATCATGTATGCATAACCTGAAGAATTTTCACAAGTGGACAAGCTTGTGTAACTGACATCTAGATAAAGAAGCAGAATATTTCCAGGATCCATAAGCCCCTTGTGCTCCGTTCCATCACTGACACCCTCCCCCCACCAAGCTGTATCTTTTTCATTTCCCTTTTACAGTTGGTAATGGGTTGACTCTAGTATCACCTTAACACTTCCTAGTCTCCCTCTTAACAGAGAGGCGACCTCAGCTCAGACCTTTAACAGACAACAGTGCAGCTAGAATTTAGTGATTTTTCACTGTATTATTACCTTCGTTATCATGATTTCCCATTTATGGTAGTCACATAAACTTTCCTTTTGAATAAATGCATGCATTTAAGTTTTAAAAAAAAAAAAGTCCAGAGAAAAATATTACTAACAGGAAAACACAGATACGGTAAAAAACAAAGATGGTTTTCCAATGACTAAAGTTTAGGAGAACACTGGTATCATTAAAAGAGGACGAGCCTGGGAATTAGAATGACCCAGTTTGGAATCCCAGTTCCACATTTTAACTAACCATACCCTCTAAACCGCTCCCCCCCAAAAAAAACCATTGCCGTCAAGTCAATTCTGACTCATAGCTGCCCTATAGGACAGCCCCGTAGGGTTTCCAAGGAGCAGCTTGTGGATTCAAACTGCTGACCTTTTGATTAGCAGCCAAGCTCTTAACCACTGCACCACCAGGGCTCCACCAACCCCTCTACAAGTACCTAATCTCTTTGAGCCTCAGTGTTCTCATCTGTAACATGGATTGAAACCACCTTTCTATGAAGGAAACTGGGTGGCTGTGGGACAGAGGGAAAGGCTTAATTCTTCCAGTAGACCCCAGTGAACCTTTTCAATTCTGTAGCATGTGCTACGGTAAATACTCCTAGAATACCTAAAAGTGTTCTCTAAATTAGTAAAGAATCTCTTTTAAAATATAGTATTTGCTTCTATAAATAAATCATGATTAGAGTTCTATGCCAGTTGTGATGCATAATGTAGAAATAACCTTTTCTTTGGTGTCTTAATCTCTGAAGACCAGTATTTTAATCCTGGCTTTGTGCAGTAGAGGAACTGACCCTAAATTGCCTCTCCCAAGTCACTAAAAATATCTCAGTTAACTCCCCCCCTCACCCAAAGAATATCCAGATTATTAAAAATAACTGAGACGTGATTCTTTGGTATAAAGGTTTTATCTGAAGTAGACTGTTGTATCAAGAAAAGAAAAACACAAAATTAAAGAAGTCGTGTATTTTTTACTAACCGTTATCTCTTATTTCAGTCTTTATCCTCATCTCTACTCAAGAGCATACATTAATTTTAGAAATCCTGATGACATCCTTCTCTTTAGAGATCGTTTTGATGGATATATCTTCATTGACAGTAAAGGTTGGATCTTTGGCTTTTTGATTCCTTATTATAATCTCAGTATATTAATGAAGTTTTGCTGGAATATTGTGAAATTTAATTAATATGTTCTCAGATACTAATCTAAAGTAAGTTCATAAATTTTGATTTTGTTACTGTGATTGTGTTCTGAGATTAAAAATTAAAGTTATATGTAAACCAAGAGGACTCTAGCAATTCTATGTAGCAGTGACAACCCATTCATATATTATTATTGGGGAGTGAAGATTTTATATGAATGAATTTTCCGGGTAGCTGAACTTTACATTTTTATGTCCTAAGACTATATTATTTTGCCTGTGTTTGATAAACATTTTCTAAAACGTATTATACACTTACTCTGTGTCATAGTAAATAGAGTACTGTCCATAATCTTACCATTTCTTCATGACGTCATGGGGGAGAGAATTGTAATAATGAACATCAGTTACTGATTGTTGTTAGAGTGTTGCCTGCAGGCATCATGCTATTTACTCCTGTTCTAAATGGTTCTACTTCCCTATCCTTTTTGGGTTCTTACATCTTTCTCCTCCTCTCCTGTCTGACTGCTAGCTATTGCATTCGCTGCTGTCAAGTCTGTATTCCTTTAACGGCAAATTGCCTTCTACCCTCTCCTCACCAACCAACCTCTTCCCACTCCATTCCCACCCCCACTACTGATTGATTTTTCTCCTTCTCTTCCACTGTGGGGTAACAAACTAGAAAAGATTGTTAAAGTGTAAGTAGGCAAAGGGCTGAAAGGTTTTTCCTGTGAGGAAAAGGAAGTTTTTTTTTATTTGTTTTGTTTCTCCTTTTTTTTTTTTATTACTGTACTTTAGATGAAGGTTTACAGAACAAACTAACTTCTCGTTAGACTGTTAGTACACATACTGTTTTGTGACATTGGTTACCAACCCCACAACATGTCAACACTCTCCCTTCTTGACCTTGGGTTCCCTATTACCAGCTTTCCTGTCCCCTCCTGCCTTGTCATCCTTGCCCCTGGGCTGGTGTGCCCCTTTAGTCTCGTTTTGTTTTATGGGCCTGTCTAATCTTTGGGTGAAGGCTGAACCTCAGGAGTGACTTCAGTACTGAGGTAAAAGAGTGTCCAGGGGACATATTCTTGGGGTTTCTCCAGTCTCTGTCAGGCCAGTAAGTCTGGTCTTTTTTGTGTGAGTTAGAATTTTGTTCTACATTTTTCTCCAGCTCTGTCTGGGACCCTCTATTGTGATCCCTGTCAGCGCGGTCGACAGTGGCAGCCGGGCAGCATTCAGCTGTAGTGGATTCAGTCTGGTGGAGGCTACGGTAGTTGTGGTTCATTAGTCCTTTGGACTAATCTTTCCCCTGTGTCTTTAGTTTTCTTCATTCTCCCTTGCTTCCAAAGGGGTGAGACCAGTAGAATATCTTAGATGGCCACTCACAAGCTTTTAAGACCCCAGATGCTACTTACCAAAGTAGAATGTAGAACATTTTCTTTATAAACTGTGTTATGCAAGTTGAGCTAGATATTCCCTGGGAACATGGTCCTCACACCCCTCAGCCTAGCAAATTTGGTCCCTCAGGGAGTTTGGATGCTTCTGCGGAGCTTCCATGACCTTGCCTTGTACAAGTTGTGCTGGTTTCCCCAGTATTGTGTACTGTCTTACCCTTCACCGAAGTTACCACTTATCTGTTGTCTAGTAACAGTTTTTCTATCCCCTCCCCTCCCCTCCCTCGTAACCATCAAAGATTGTTTCTTTGTGTGTGTAAACCTTAGGAAAGGGAAGTTTAATGCTTGAACTATTCTATGTTCATCTATTCGGTAATTCATTCAATTCTGATTTAATAAGTACCTCCTACGTACTAGGCACAGCAGTAGGCATTGTGGATGCAACAGTGGATCAGACATTGTTCCTGCAGGTCCAAAGACTTGCTTTCTTCTCGGTTCTTGACTTTATTCTCAATAGTGAGGTTAGCACAAACATGTTTTCCAGATTAGTAAGCGGTACAATATCATAATCACCTGACCATTACTACCAAGTCTAAAAGTGATTATTCAGTAGGCTTAGTACTGAGGTATTAGCGTTCCATTTCTTGATTAAGCATGTAGCAGATTCTCTTAGTGAAAGTGTGTGTGTGTGTGTGTGTGTGTGTGTGTGTGTGTGTGTGTGTGTGTGTGTGTGTGTTGGTTTTCCCCCACATAACAACAAAATCCAGTTTCTAGTGACTTCCATTCTAAACTTTGCTAATTGGAGCAAACTTACCTGCAATATTATATGTATCCTTTTTAAGTCCCTTTTTAAAGCCATGTGTCTCCTCTAAAAGTAATTTCCTTGAATTCATGTAGCAGATTGATAATTGAATTAACTTTTTAAAAACTGAAAGTTTTAAAAAATGTAACTAACAGGCCTGACTATTGAAAACAATCATTGCCGTCAAGTGGATTCTGATTCATAATGACCCTATAGGACAGAGTAGAACTGCCCCGTAGGGTTTCCAAGGAACGGCTGGTGAATTCAAACTGCTGACCTTTTGGTTAGCAGCCGTAGCTCTTAACTACTGCACCACCAAGACTCCGACTATTTAAAGGTATTTTTTATTAAATTAATTTTGGAGGGGACCAGGTTTATTGAGGTATATGTCACATATGGTAAAATTCACCCTTTTAAAATGTACAGTTTAATGCATTTTGAATGTATATAGTCATATAACCACTACTACAGTGTGATGAATTGTTTTATTTAATAAATAATTACTCTTCCTGTTACCAGTTTATCCTTTGTTCAAATCTGGAATTTAACATGCCAAGGGTGCCTGAAAATATAATTAGATTATAATTTAAAGCAGTAATAATACGTTATCATTGTTACACTTGACCCTGTAAGTAAACTACATTGTTATTTTCCACAATGAATGTAGTAGAATTTCTGAATGGTTTTTGGAATTTGTTTTCTATTAAAGGGTTAGAATACCCTGCAGTGGTAGAATTTGCTCCATTCCAAAAGATATCCAAAAAAAAGCTAAAGAAAAAAGATGCCAAAACGGGAAGCATTGAAGATGGTAAGCTCTTTTTTAAATACTGGATTATGAAACTACCAAATTAAACATACCGATCAGATAGCGTTTCTCTCCCATATAGGTAGAGGAGTATTTTCCTTGTTTTCTTTTTTTAATTTACAGACCCAGACTATAAGAAGTTTTTAGAAGCTTACTGTAAGGAGGAAGAGAAAACTAGTGCCAGTCCTGAAACTCTTCTGGGAGAGATAGAGGCAAAGACAAGAGAGCTCATTGGTCTGTTTCGCTCATTTCTTCTCTCTACTGTATTGAGATGTATGTTTTTAGAGTATGTACTTTTTTCTCCTTTTCCATGATTATTATAAACAATTGAAACTTGTTACAGGCTTGGCAGAAATGTAGAGTATTTTCCAGTTTGACAAAAATGATGGCAAGGTGGCAACTTGGGAAAATATTTTTGAGCATTTGTTGATAGAAAACACCTGAATTTTTCGTTACGATCATTTTGTTTGAAAGCTAGGATGCTTCCAAGTAAGCCGGGGGTAAGACCTTTGAATGCTCTGTGCCTGACTATGTTAGGGAAGGAGCACCGTGCTCACACAGTCAGAGTTAGTTGTCTTTGCAAAGAGCGCAGTCACAGATAGATGCCTCAGGCTCATAGGAATAAAGCACTTTGCTTAAGTATGAAGTAAACTGACTGCTCTTTAAAAACATATCAAGCCCCCTGAGCAAGCCAGACAAACTAGTGAATAAATCCTGCTGGACCACAGAATCTGGTATAATCCTGGCCTTTGATCCTATACCCACAAATGGTATTTTTAGGAATGATTGTCTCCAAGGTTTTTTTCTAATTGCCTTTGGGTTGACTCTGACTCCTGGTGACCCCATGTAACTCCTGTCTCCGAGTTAACTCAGTTTAACCCATTGCCATCGAGTTGATTCCAACTTATAGTGACCCTATAGAACAGAGCAGAACTGCCCCATAGGATTTCCAAGGAGCAGCTGATGGATTCAAACTGCCGACCTTTTCGTTACCAGCCAAGCTCTCAATCACTGCGCCACCAGGGCTCTGTCTCCTAGTAGCAGTCCCCCAAAACCTCAGGAGTAGGTGTGAAACACATTTAGCCAATGTCTTAGTTATTAGTGCTGCTGCAACAGAAATACCACAAGTGGATGGCTTTAACAAACAAAAATTTATTCTCTCACAGTCTAGGAAGCTAGAAGTCCAAATTCAGGGCACCAGCTCCAGGGGAAGGATTTCTGTCTCTGTCAGTTTTGGAGAAAGGTCCTTGTCATCAATCTTCCCCTGGTCTAGGAGCTTCTTAACACAAGGATCCCGGGTCCAAAGGACACATTCTGCTCCTGGTGCTTCTTTCTTGGTGGTATGACGTAGCTCTCTTCTCTGCTCAATTCTTTCTTTTATAACTCAAAAGAGATTGACTCAAGATACAACCTAATCTTGTAGATTTAGTCCTGCCTCATTAACATAACTGCCTCTAATCCTGCCTTGTTAACATCATAGGGGTTATGATTCACAACATAAAGTATAGTCACATCAGATCACAAAATGGAGGACAGCCACACAATACTGGGAATCATGGCCTAACCACGTTGACACACATTTTGGGGAGACACAGTTCAATCCATAACAGGCATCAATAGGCAAACTGCTTGTAGTTCCCAAACATACCTAGGAGTGACTCTCTTCTCTCTCTGTTTCTGCTGAATGCCCGGTCTCTTCTCAAGGCCTCAAGGCTCCTTCCCTGGCCCCTTCCACCCTACCTCATCTCCATGGCTTTGTCTTACTTTTTAGGACTGATATGACATGACAGTTACATTGTTTATCATTTATCTGTTTATTTGTCGACCTCCCCTCCACATAATTACCCTTCTGAGTCCATCTCTGCATTCCCCCAACTGAACTGTATTTTCATCTTTGTAGTCCCAGCACATAGTACAGTGCTTAGAAAAGTTTACATATTGAGTAGTGTTTGTTGGATAAATTAATGAGAATAGTTAACGTTATTGAAATAGAGTCTACTAGCCTTCCTTGTTAGTGTAGTAACAAAGTTTTTATATTTTCTAATAACTGATTTAATGTGTGGCTGAAAGGATTCTTAATCACTAAAAGTAAATATTTATTAAGATATGCTTAGCATGCATTTGCTAGTTTTTATTTGACACATGTTGATGGGCTACCTACTCTGAGCAGGCACTGTTCTAGGCACTGGGACTACAGTGATGAGAAAGGTGGACGAGGCCTGTATGCTTGTGTAGCTGCCCTTTTAGCGGGGATGATAGGTAATAAATGCATGCAGAAATAAACAAGCAAGAGCCCTTCAGTCTGTGATAAGTGCCACAAACGTAATGAAATAGAATAATGGGATAGAGAGAGTACATAGAGAGAGTACTCAGGAAAGGCTCCTCTGAGGAGATGACATCTGAACGGCAGAAGCCAGCCGTGCTGAGAGATGGAAGGAGAGAGAACTGCAAATGTGAGCGACTGGAGGCTAGAGCTAGCTAACTTTGGACACAGGATCGGAAGGAAAGCTTGTGTCGTTAGCACATAATAGGCAAGGGGCAGAGTAGTTGGAGAGGGTGGGTGGGTTAGATCATGTAGGACTTGGTGGGCTGTGTTAAGAAGCTTGGATTTTATTCGAGGGCAGTTGGAAACTATTGGGGGAGTGGCCTGAAGGGGAGCAGCATGATCTGATTTAGTTTTTCCCGGAACTCTGGTGCTCCACACATAATGGATACCAGGCGAAGCAGCAGGATCACTGGTCCGGAGGATTTTACTGCAGCTCAGGGAAGCCGTGAAGGTTGCTGGTACTAGGCTGGTAAATCCAGGATGCGTTCTGGAGCTGGCACTGACAGGACTGACTGGTGGGTTGGATATGGGAGGCAAAGAAATGAAAGAATCTAAGACTCCAAGGTGTTTGACTTGAGCAAATCAGTTGATGGGGGAACTGTTAATGACATGGGGGCAGCAGTGGGGAGAGCAGTATTGGGGGCAAAATTGAGCTTTCACTTCAGAATATGTTAAAAGTTAAGAGGTCAAAGAAAAGCAAACTAGAAATTATTTAGCAAACTAGCCCTTCCCCTATCCCTATTCCTTTTTCACTTTGTTTCAGATGTCCCCTTAAACAGCATAGGTAAAGGAAGAGAACAGGGTTCTGTCATATCACTGCAGTATGGACACATCTTTGAAGGTGGGACTCTGTAGGGGGACACGTGCCATCGACAAAATCCAGCTGCACTCCTGTAGAATAGGGACACGTCTCGTTCATCTCTGTTCCCAGCACCTTTCTCGGCCTGGTGCACAGTTGGTGTTTAATTTTTGTTTGTTTGTGGTAAACACCAGGACCCCTGGTGGCACAGTGGTTAAGTGCTCAGCTGCTAACTGAAAGGTTGGCGATTTGAACGGACCTGCTGCTCTGTGGGAAAAAAAGTGGCAGTCTGCTTCTGTAAAGAGTACAGCCTTGGAAACCCTATGGGGCAGTTCTGCTCTGTCCTATAGAGCCGTTATGAGTTGAATTGACTAAATGGCAATGGATAAACATATATATAACAAAACATTTTCCATTTCAACATTTTTTACATGTACAGTTCAGTAACATTATGTTCATCTGTCATGCATCCATCACCTTTCCAATTTTTTCCCACCAAAATCACACTAATTTGGGATGATTTACCTGTTACAGTTGCTAATCGTTGACTTTCATGAGTCAGCTCTACTCATCTAAGCTAAAGTTCATGGTTGACCCAGGAGCCACCCCAGGCAGAAGGCAGGGTTCTCACAGCACCTTCTATTTGTCATAAAATTGCAGGCAGTTGTACCCTTGTCAGTTCTCAGTACAGCTGGCCCACCTGACATAGAGCTGGCTGGCCATCTCCCCAACTTGAAAGCCTGTTTAGTTCTAACAGCCGGGTGAAGGATACCAGAGAAGGCCTAGAATACTTATTCTTAACTTCTTAATGGCATGGACCTGTTTGAAACTCTAATAAAAGTTTTTCTTTAGAAAATGTCCATAGGCATAATTATATAACATTTTACACATAATTTCAAAGTGTTCATGAGTCCTGCATTCCAAGTTAAGAACCCCCAGCCCAGGGACTCCTGTAATTCCCGAGTAGGCCACATGGTCCTAGTTAATTCCTTCTCCTAGGGATTCTGGTAGTGTCATGTCAGCCTTCAGGTGTGTTACGGATTGAACTGTGTCCCCCAAAAATGTGTGTCTACTAGGGTAGGCCATGATTCCCAGTATTATATGGTTGTTCTCCATTTTGTGATCTGTTGTATTTATCCTATGTGTTGTAAATCCTACCTCTGTGATGTTAAGGAGGCAGGATTAGAGGAGGATGCATTAATTAGGCAGGATGCAATCTATAAGATTAGGTTGTATCTTGAGAACAAAGCAAGCGGAGAGGAGAGGGACCTCCTACCACCAAGAGAGAAGCACTGGGAGCGGAGTGTGTAATTTGGAGCCAGGGTTCCTGCTCTGAGAAGCTCCTAGACCAGGAAAAGATTGATGACGAGGACCTTCCCCCAGAGCTGACAGAGAAAGCCTGCCCCTGGAGCTGGTGCCCTGAATTCGGACTTCTAGCCTCCTAGACTGTGAGAGAATAAATTTCTCTTTGTTAAAGGCATCCACTTGTGGTGTTTCTGTTATAGCAGCACTGGATGACCAAGATAAAGTGCATCCAGTGATTCTTCCCTTTCCATTTAATCTGTGATCTTTAAGACCTGGAGAACAGGTCCAAATCATCTTCCACTTTCCTACCTATGCCTTGAATTTGCCATTCAAACCACCTCATACTCAAATTTTACAGACCACGGATAACCCAGACTTCTTGGAGGTAGTTCATCTTACATAAATGCCTGTAGGCCCACTGCATGTTTGGGCACCCAGCATCCATATCACATCAGACGCTTGGAATATAAAAGTTGGGATTAGAATCAGAGCTGGTGGAAACATTCATTCCTCATTACTTGGTGCCTTTTGGGTTACTAAATTCTTAAGTAGTCATTTTCTAAACCGCAGTGTTCTGATTTATGGAGTGTATGTTATGAGAAATCACAAGAATCCAGATTGCTTATGTTCATTATCTGGAGAGCAGAATAGGAAGAAATTCCTAGAATATGTGTTGAATAAAAGTGAGTGTAGAAATATGTTATTTAATGATTTAAAATATCTGCAAAAAATGTGAAGAGAGATTCATAACCTTGGGGAAGTTTAAAGCATTGTATTCATTTTATTTTTTGTTTTTATACCATCTTTTTGAGTAATAAGACTCCTTTAAAAATCAGGAATTAAATACCCACTATGTATAGAATTGGAAACCCTGGTGGCGTAGTGGTTAAGTTCTATGGCTGCTAACCAAAAGGTCGGCAGTTCAAATCCACCAGGCGCTCCTTGGAAGCTCTGTGGGGCAGTTCTACTCTGTCATATAGGGTTGCTACGAGTCAAAATCGACTCGACGGCAGTGTGTTTGGTTTGGGTTTATGTATAGAATTGTTAGTATCCTCACATTACTTGACTGGATGGTGATGGAATCAGAATGCCCTAGGATACAGTGTATGCTCATATAGATTTAAAAAACAATGTTAAAGATTAAATTGAAAAAAACATTTTTAAAATGAAGAGAAATTTTATTTTAGAAGTTAAATACATCATAATTTTTTGTTTTAGCTAGAAGAACCACGCCTCTTTTGGAGTATATTAAAAATAGAAAATTAGAAAAGCAGGTAGGTCTGGCCTTTCATCTGATGAATATCCTTCCTGTTTTTGCTATTTTCCTCAGACAATTTATACACGTACTTTTTCCCATAACTTTAGCGAATTCGAGAAGAGAAGCGAGAAGAACGAAGGAGGAGGGAGTTAGAAAGGAAACGCTTGCGGGAAGAAGAGAAAAGGAAAAGGAGAGAAGAAGAAAGATCTAAGAGAAAAGAGGCAGACAAACAAAAGAAAATTGTTGAGAAAGAAATAAGATTCAAGGTAATTTGAGTAAACATTTAATTTCTTTTTCCAAAAATAATTCTGCTCTACTAACTATACCTTTTATTTACTTTAACTTCAGTTTTCAAGATATTTTCATGTAATCTATTCTTTTGTTGTATAGAAAAATAGTAGTTTTCAAACTGTGTTCCACAAAGCACTAGGAGTTCCTCAGCCATGCCCTGTGGACCTTGGGAGGACTTGGGGACAGTTGGAAGGGTAAAGGAGGACCATCTAGACTGGCTGTGAAGGAGGAAGCTCTTCACTCAGAGCAAACCAGTTGTCGTCCAGTCAGTTTCGATACATGGTGGCCCCATGTGTGTCAGAGTAGAGCTGTGCTTCACTGGGTTTTCAGTGGCTGATTTTTCGGAAGTAGATTGTCAGGCCTTTCTTCTGAGGCATCGCTGAATGAACTCGAACCTCCAGCCATTTGGTTAGCGGCCAAGCGCATTAGCCATTTGCACCACCCAGGGACTCCTCACCCAGCGTAGCCCCATGTTAAATGTTATATGTTTGGCTTCTGCTTAAATTTTTCTTTAAAGAAAAGGTTTCTTGACTGGGAAAAAAAACCCACACTGGAAAACTACTGGCTCAGCATATACTATCCTTTCTACATGAACGCTAACTCATAGAATAAGGTTTGATCATTTCTTTTGCGGTAACAGCAATGGATTTCTGCGTTGCTTGTCCACTTTCTCCTGTGACTGATGCATTCGTTTATGAGGCTGGTTTAATGCATGTTGTTGTTGCATGCTCAATTCCGGTTCACAGAGACCCTGTAGGACAGAGTAGAGCTGCCCCCTAGGGTTTCCTAAGCTGTAATCTTTATGGGAGCAGATCGCCAGGTCTTTTCTCCTGCAGAGTGGCTGGTGGATTCAAACCTCCAACCTTCCAGTTGGCAGCTGAGCACTTAACCACTGCTCCTCCAGGGCTCCTCATTTAATGTATACAGGGCAGTTTTCTCTGTGCAAAATGTATTGGGAATAGTTCTTATCTTTTTAGTACTCTGCTCAGATGACATGATTAAATCTAAATTTCATCCTAATGTGTATCTTACCACTTCCATGAAGGATTTAAGGTCCTTCATAGGGATTCAAAAGAAACCTTGGTGGCGTAGTAGTTAAAGCACTCAACTGCTAACTGGAAGGTCAGAGATTTGAACCCACCGTGCACTCCGAGGGAGAAAGATGTGGCAGTTTGCTTCCATAAAGATATAAAGCCTTGGAAACCCTATGGGGCAGTTCTACTCAGTTCTATAGGGTCACTATGAGTCATAATCAACTCAATGGCAATGAGTTTTGGGGATAGGGATTCAATAAAATCATATAAAGGAAAAAATAAAATGACGGGACTTGGGAAAAGACATACTAGAAATGGAAAGGATAGGGGAAGAGATCACAGATAATCGAACCATAGATTAGTTTCTGTTATTCTCAGCAGTCAAAAACAGAAAAGTTGACCAGAAACATAGTTGTCATTATCCATGATGAAAAAACATAACCAGTTATTCAAGGGATGCAAATCTTTTTCTAGGGATTCACTCTAATTTCTCCATGGGTAGTCATGTGGGGTTCACTAGCAATGGAGGGAACAATTTCTTAACAATATTCCTATAAAAACACTCAGCCATTTGTATTAGTCAGGATTGGCTAGGTTACACTGCAGTAACACATAGTCTCAAAATTTCATTGGTTTAACATTAACTGTAGTTTTATTTCTTGTTCACATTACATGTCTATTTCTTGTCCATTGTGAACTGGCAGATAGGCTGTGCTCATCATAGCCATTCAGTGACCCAGCCTGGTGGAGGCCCCATCTTAGCATTTGCTTCCATGATTTTCATGACGGGAAGGGAATGTGTAACATGACAGACAGTGCACTAGTTCTTAAAACTTCCACGCGGAAGTGACACGTTACTTCTGCCTGCATTTTATTGGTCAAAACAAGGTACATGGCCCCACTTAATTTCAAATGGCTGGGAAAGTGCAGGGTTACCAGTTACCCAGAACAAGAAAAATCTGAAATAGATGGTTTCTTAGTTACCTAGTGCTGCTATAACAGAAATACTGCAAGTGGATGGCTTTAACAAAGGGAAATTTATTCTTTCACAGTTCGGGAGTCTAGAATTCCAAATTCACAGTACCAGCTCCAGGGGAAGGCTTTCTTCCTCTGTCGGCTCTGGGAGAAGGTCCTTTTTATCAGTCTTCCTCTGTCTTAGGAGCTTCTCAGCCCAGGGACCCCGGGTCCAAAGGATGTGCTCCCCTCCTGGTTCTGCTTTCTTGGTGGTAGGAGGTCCCCCTGTCTCTCTGCTCACTTCTCTCTTTTATATCTCAAAAGAGATTGGCTTAAAACACAACCTGATCTTGAAGATTGAGTCCTGCCTCATTAACATAACTGCCTCTAATCCTGCCTCATTAACGTCACAGCGGCAGGATTTACAACACATAGGAAAATTGCATCAGATGACAAAATGGTGGACAATCACACAATACTGGGAATCGTGACCTAGCCAAGTTGACACACATTTTTGGGGGACACAGTTCAATCCATAACAGATGGTGAAAAGCATCAGTGAATAATGTAATGTATGAAGACTCTTGAAATGTCTCTCCTTCAAATGTAAGGACATTCCTCTGAAATGCAACTTGACGAAAGGTGTGGGGCAGGAGCCAGATAATGTTGCTCTAGCACGTTTGATTCAAGGATAAAACTTAGATGTGCAAGATGAATAAGCAAACCATTTGTCCCACAAAAAGTCCTGCAAAATAGTTTCTTTCAACTTGATTTTGATAAGAATTCGACAAGAGCCTGGGTACAGATTTACCATATTTTTTCACAAACAACGTGTGCCTTCTACGTTTGTTTACCAGCTGTACCCTCCCCCGTGAGGTATTTTCCTAAGCACTGCTATGCCAATTTTTTTTTTTACATGTTGTGGTATAAAAAATCAGCATAGAGCGCTTAGGAAAAATACCTTGCGGGTGGAGGGCATGGCGGTCAAACAAACGTAGAAGGTGTGCATTATTTGCATAAAAACATGGTATATATTTCTAAAAATCTCATAATCCAGTAATAGCATTGATGGAATTGATGAACCCAATAAGACTATTAAATAAAGATTGACTGTCCCACATCTGCGAGGATATGAACCTAATAGGCAAAGCCAGGGAATAATTCAGGAAATAATTCTGAGAACAGTGTTTGTTGTTTGGTCCATGTTTGTTTAAATGTGCAAACACAACTCTCCATAGCAAACATTGCAGCAAATACATTTCCTATAACAAACATACATAGTCTCTAAAAAATAAATTAATGAACAGCCCTTGGAAGATAACAAATAAAGTATGAAACCTTACTATTACAGGAAAGATCTTTGTAGTTGCAGAAATTTAACACTGTCATCATGACAGGTACAGAAGAGGGATACACTTAACTGAAAATTCACGGTCACAGATGTGTGAACATTTTCTAACCTTCTCATTTACTCTTCTAAACGAATAATAGCGTACCTAGTGCCTGGTGCTTTACATTTGCAAAAGCAGTTTTATCAATAATCTTTTTACTCAGAGTTTTTCAGAAGAAACCATTCAAACTTGCAGCCTACAGTTTCAATGATAATTTTAACTAAGGCTTAATTAAGGTATTTGGAGTTGAATATGTAATTAGAATCCAAAACAAGCCAAAGAAATAAAAACAAATTTATGTCAATAAAAGTAAATTCAGGACCCTTCATTTAGGGAAAAAAAAATGAAATCAAAACATAAGCACAAAAAGAGAAAGGGGTAGTCTTGTCCAAATCTGGTAAAACAAAATCTTGGTGGCAGATTGGACCTTAATGGAGTGAGTAATCCATGACTTCTGTCCTTAGGAATGGCTGATAATGATGATTAATAAATAAGCCTAACAAGCCTAATAAGACCCTCGATGAGATGGATTGACACAGTGGCTGCAAAAATGGGCTCAAGCATAGCAATGATTGTGAGGATGGCACAGGACCAGGGAATGTTTCGTTCTGTTTTAACAGGGTTGCTGTGAGTTGGAACTGACTTGACGGCACCTAACAGTAACAGTACATAGGAGATTTAGGTCACCTGACCCCAAGTTTAGCCTTTAATAAACATCTGTGATCAATCTGGGGACCTCTGATTTATAAAGCATTTGGAGAACTTAAATTTAAAAAAAGAACACAAAAATAAAATCTGGAGAAATGCCAGAAGAATTTGTTTTAATAACCCAAAGACAGGGAGTCAGACAGATGTTCTCATAGCTATTATTAAACAATGAAGAGAAATATGACACAAGGAAAGCAATCTAGCTGTTTATTATTTTCCTCTGAGCCCTGTAAAACTAAGCAGTGAGCTTCAGCTGAAGTACCAAAGTTAGTTACCAAAGTTACAAATAAAATTCCTGCATCTATAAATTGTAGGCAGTAGATTACATTATCTAAAGAAGTCGTGTGATCTTTTTCAGAAAGCTCTTTAAAAATTGACATGAGAGTGTGTGTGTGTGTGTGTGTGTGTAACTATGTTATAGGTATGTAGAGTAAGCATAGGAGAAGTCTGGAAGGGTACACACCAGGCTCTCGAGGGTATCTGCATGACTCCACAGATCTGGCCCCTATTTCCACCTTATCTTGTACGATGTTCCCCTGACTCTTTCTCCAGCCACTCTTGCTTTCTTCCTTTTTTCTTAAATATACCAGGCTGGTTTCACCTTGTGGTCTTTGGGTTTGCTTCCCTCCACAGGGAACTTTTTTCCCTGGACTTAGGCACGGATGGTTCCTTCTCATCACGCTGCTCTCAGTTCATATGCTGTCTCCTCGGAAAGGCCTCCCCTGACCCCGAGCTAGAAGATTCCTCCTCTTCCTCTCATCCCAGATATCTCTATTTCTTTATTATGTTTTATTATGTGTTCATAGCATTTAATCCTACCCGAAATTATCTTATTCATTTGTTTGTGTTTTTGTTTCACTGTGTACACCACCCTTCCCCCACCACAAC